GTGTTGGTACTGAAGTTTTCCAGTACCACCTCCATCATCTTAGCCCTCCATGTATCTTGGCCCCCATGTGGCTCCAAGTTCTCCCATTCGATCTCCTTGTGGTTAAAGTCGCCCATGATCAGGAGCTTTGCCCTGCATGTATGAGCTCTTCTGGCCACTCTAGCCAGTGTGTCAACCATCGCTCTATTGCTCTCGTCGTACTCTTGCCTTGGCCTCCTGCTGTTCTGTGGTGGGTTATACATCACTGCTATTACCACCTTGGGACCTCCAGAGTGAAGCGTTCCCGCTATGTAATCACTTTCTTCTCCGTTGTCTCCTCTCTCCAGCTCATCAAAATTCCAGCGATTTTTGATCAGCAATGCCACTCTCCACCCCCCCCCTGTTCCCTCTGTCTTTCCTCAGGTTTTGGGTATCCCGTTGGAAAGATGGCATCTGTTATCATACCTGTAAGCTTGGTTTCTGTGAGAGCTATGATGTCCGGTGATGCTTCTTTGACTCTTTCATGCCACTCCTCCCACTTATTTGTTATTCCATCAGCGTTTGTGTACCATACCTTCAGTTTCCTTTCCAACACTGTGGTTTGGGGGGCCTGTGAGGGTGGGAGACCTGGTGGCATACTGTGGGATTCTGTAGCTCGGTGTTGGGTGGAGGCTGTGGGTATGGATTGTAGTGTGTGTTGGGATGGTGGTGATAGGTTGTATGGTTCTGAGAATAGTTGTGTGTGTGCTTGCCCTTGCTGTTCTGTTCTGCTCTGACTGACCTCTGCTGGTTCCATCCTTGTCTCTTTTCCTAGCTCCTTTCGCTTTTTTGTCCTCTCCCTCAGCTGCTGTCGTTCTGATTTTGTTCTGTCTCTGTCTAGGAACACCCTCTTGTACTCTTCCGAGTATTTCAATCGTGGTTTCTCTTGGAGGATCCTGTTCCGCACTGTGTGTTTGTGTGTGTGTGTGTGTGTGTGTGTGTGTGTGTATGTGTGTGTGTGTGTGTGTGTGTGTGTGTGTGTGTGTAATGTGTGTGTGTGTGTTGTGTGTGTATGTGTATGTGTGTGTGTTTGTGTGGTCTGTCTGTCTATCTGTCCAACTGTCTGTCCGTCTATCTATCTGTCTATCTGTCTGTTCGTGTGGGTGTCTGTGTAAATACAAAGTCTAGTTAACAACAGTCAGCCTCGCAGTGTACGAGGCAGTGACCAGAAACCTTCAGTAATACTCGACACTTTCACAGAACAAGAGGCAACACCATCACAACAACTCCTCCAGTAAACACACTGTCTTCTGCCTATATTGTGTCCATATTGTTTAAGTATATAAAATGCGAATTAATTAAGTGTATGTTGTGTTGAAGGTAGTCAACTCCACGAGGGTCACTAAGGCAGCTTGACACCTCTTCACCACCAATCAAGAATACTTATATTATTAAAACAGTGGTTAAATTAAACTCTCGGTATATATACTGAAAGCCATATACCTCACGGTGGATATATCCTCGTCTCTTAGGCATATATTGTATAATCATACGACTTCTACATTATTATTATTATTATTATTATTATTATTATTATTATTATTATTATTATTATTATTATCATTATTGTTGTTGTTGTTATTGTTAGTAGTAGTAGTAGTAGTAGTAGTAGTAGTTATAGTAGTAGTAGTAGTAGTTATATTAGTAGTAGTAGTAGTAGTAGTTATAGTAGTAGTAGTAGTTATAGTAGTAGTAGTAGTAGTAGTAGTAGTAGTTATAGTAGTAGTAGTAGTAGTAGTTATAGTAGTAGTAGTAGCAGTTATAGTAGTAGTAGTAGTTACAGTAGTAGTAGTATAGTAGCAGTAGTAGTAGTTATAGTAGTAGTAGTAGTTGTAGTAGTAGTTATAGTAGTAGTAGTAGTAATAGTAATGGTAGTAGTAGTTATAGTAGTAGTAGTAGTAGTAGTTATAGTAGTAGTAGTAATAGTAGTTATAGTAGTAGTAGTAGTAGTAGTAGTAGTTATAGTAGTAGTAGCAGTAGTAGTAGTTATAGTAGTAGTAGTAGCAGTTATAGTAGTAGTAGTAGTTATAGTAGTAGTAGTTATAGTAGCAGTAGTAGTAGTTATAGTAGTACTAGTAGTAGTAGTTATAGTAGTAGTATAGTAGTTATAGTAGTAGTAGTAGTAGTTAGTAGTAGTAGTAGTAGTAGTAGTAGTAGTAGTAGTAGTTATAGTAGTAGTAGTAGTAATAGTAGTAGTTATAGTAGTAGTAGTAGTAGTTGTAGTAGTAGTAGTAGTAGTTATAGTAGTAGTAGTAGTAGTTATAGTAGTAGTAGTTATAGTAGTAGTAGTAGTAGTAGTAGTAGTAGTTATAGTAGTAGTAGTAGTTATAGTAATAGTAGTAGTAGTTATAGTAGTAGTAGTTATAGTAGTAGTAGTAGTAGTTATAGTAGTAGTAGTAGTAGTTATAGTATTAGTATGTTATAGTAGTAGTAGTTTACAGTAGTAGTAGTAGTAGTTATAGTAGTAGTAGTAGTTATAGTAATATTAGTTATAGTAGTAGTA